TCTTTCTTTTTTTTGGACATGGCTAATGTAGGGTTTTGCTTGACCATCATATTTGTAATGGATTTTGTTTTTTTTGCCTTCTCAATGCTTGGGGAAGGGCGAGATGAGAGGGAGAAAGTTCAAAACTCAAAAATAAAATTGAATTAAAAAATAAAAAAAGTAAAAAAGAATATATCTCTCTTTCCATGAGAATGTTCTTCCATTGGACCCCTCACTAATAAGTGATTTTCCTTTCTTTTCCACTTTTTTAGCTAGGCAGTGAGGCTGACTTGCCCAGGATCTCACTGCTAGTAAGTGTTATGTGTTTGAGGCCAGATTTGAACTCAGGTCCTCCTGAATCCAGGGCCAGTGCTCTATCCACTGGGCCACCTAGCTGCCCGGCTTTTCCACTGTTTCGATGTCACCCTTTGCCACATCACTCATTCCAGAAAGTGGTTCTTACTGAAAAAAAAAAAAAAAAAAAAAAACATGCTCACCAAGAACCAATACTGGGCCTATCTATACTCCAATTAGGTATTTATATCTCTTCCCTTCCAGTCCCTAGTTGATATGGCTTCTGTTTGCTATATGCCACTTGTAAATTCACTTAGGACTTTTTTTTTGGCCATCATTACATTTCTTCAGTCTCTGTGTTCTCTTCAAGAGTAGTCTTTAGCTGGTTTTCTCCTTCCCTGGCAATCTTATAGTGCCAGAAATACGAGCAGCAGCTCAAATCATCTTCTACTGAATTTAGTTCCTCTGGACTCTGTCTTTTGTCTGTACTTTTGTTTGTACACTAGCTTAGGCAATGCAGTAATCACACAAAAGTGATACTTATTCTACAGGACACTTCAAATAGCACTCTCTTCATTTACATCCCTATGTGCAACCTCTCAGAACAGGCACACATCACCCTAATATTAAAAAAAAGGAAACCATGAGAGTAATTTTCTTTTTCCTATTACTTATTCCAAATAAAATTCTGTGCCCATCAAGCTGGGTAAAGATGGGTACAGTTAATATAGTAGAAGGGTTTTGGGAAGACTGGCACACTAGTGCATTGTTTGTGGAGTTGTGAATCAGTACAACCATTTTGGAAAGCAATTTGAAATTGTGCAAATAAAATGATCAAAATTTCCAAATCCTTTGGCTCAGAGATTTCCCTGCTACGCTTATACTCTCAGAAGGTCATTGATAAGGAAAAAGTCCCCCATATGTACCAAAATATTTATAGCGGTAATTTTTGTGGTAGTTAAGAATGAGAAACAAAGTACATGCCAATTGACTGGGGAATAACTAAACAAATTGTGGAACAGGAATATACTTGATTACTGTGCTGTAAGAAATAACAAACATAATGAATACAGAGAAGCATGGAAAGACTTACATGAATTGATGCAGAGTAAAGTAAGCAGAGCCAAAAAAACCCCAATATACACAATGACTACAATAAGGTAAATGGAAAGAATAACCATGAAATAATCAAAAGCGAATGTTGTATAATTGCAAAGAACAAACATAGCTCCAAAGAAAAGATACAAGAAGAAAACCCCACCCTGCTCCTTTGCTGATGTGGGAGGACCATGGATGTGGTACATTACGCATATATTCATATTTTTTGGTATTAATCAGTTTTGCATTTTTTAAAAAAAATATATAAGATGGCTCTCTGCAAGGGAAAAGAGGGAGAGATAAAGGAAGAAATTATGGCTATGTAATTAAAAAGGCTATCAATATTTATTTTTTAAAAATTCTGGGCCAAGAGGATATTATTTCTGTACTCTTATCAGCACTACAATAGTAATTAAGGCATAGTAGTTATGAACCCCAACTCCATTTTCTAGTTCTGTGCTTTCAGTTCCATGCTCCTTGGTACTAAAGTCTTCTTTTGTAGGGCCACAACACTAAGTTAAAAGTTTAATTGATCATTCATTTTATCTTACATGGCACAATGGTTTCATTTCTCATATGTCTCATAGTTTAACAAGTTAATTTCATATTAATATTCAAACAAATGTTGTTTTCTGTGACTCCAAAGTTCCTGGATATATGATAGTAGTGGAGACTTTCCAGGTTCCAACACGTTTTCCATATTAACAGAAACGTTTGACAAGTTCATTGTCTGTGTGCCCTGTGGCCACTGGGTTGATCCCAGACAGCAGGACGGATATCCAGTGTACAGAGGACACTTCCTTCCCCTCCTAATACTCTCCATATCTGTTTTACCTTGCTCATCCTCCTTCACTCCTTGCTTTCTTACAAAGAAACCATCATCCGGTCATCCTGCTTAGGATATGAGGTCCTCTTTTTTTTTTTGCAATTTCCAAAGTACTTTCCTGATACATCCTCTAACTCTGTTAATAAAGCTAGATAGTTATAGGTTTGGGCCCCTTCTACTGGGGCTTTGAAAAAAATCCCACAATCCTAGATTGAAAAGTGTTTTGATGGTTGTTGTTCAGTCATGTCTCTTTGTGACCCCCTTTGAGGTATTCATGGACAAAGATACTGGTTTGCCCTTTCCTTCTCCAGCTTATTTTACAGATGAGGAAACGGAGGCAAATAGGGTTGTGACTTTTACAGGGTCACACAACCAGTAAGCGTCTGAGGTCAAATTTGAACTCTGGGAAGATTGAGTCTTCCTAACTCTAGGCCCAGCATTTGTCCTGTTTTGACAGTAGGCGAGTGTTTTATGTACTTCCCAAAATTGGCTTAGACAGTACTAGGGCTCAACATATTTAAGGTAATATTTGTATTCTCTAAGAGGCATGCCAGTTATTTGGTTTTAAAAAAAATTAGCCAGTTTACTCTATAACTGAAACTCTTATTAGAATTTATTTCACCATTCAAATCTTCAAAATTGATATGTCCATATCTGTAAAGTTAAAGAAGAAACCAAACTACCACAATCCTGCTTGGTTTACATCTTTAAGGCAGTTAAGGTAAAAGTTGGTGTGCAAGAAGTAGCCTGGGTGACTCACCCCAGCCTGTATTTCAAACTCATCTTTTGTCTTCAGTACTGTCAGTCGTAAGGGCTTGTGGAAAATTATGTCAAAATTCAGCTGCCCAGAGAAGTCCATCAGCATTGTACGTCAATTTCATGACAGCATGCTTGCCTAGGTTCTGGATAATGGACAATGCTCTCGTGCTTTCCCAGTCACCAATGGAGTGAAACAAGGCTGTGTGCATGCTCCCATGCTTCTCAGCATGACATTTTCAGCCATGTTGTCAAATGCTTTCAATGAGGATGAACATGGCATCAAGGTCAGCTATAGCACTGATGGTAAATTCTTCAACTTGAAAAGACTACAAGCCAAGACCAAAGTGGAGGGAGTGTTGGTGGATGATTTTCTGTTTGAGGATGATTGTGCATTCAATGCAGCCTCTGAAGTTGAGATGCCACAAAGTATGGATCAATTCTCTGCTGCTTGTGCTAATTTTGGCCTAACAATTAACACCAAGAAAACACAGGTGCTCCATCAGCCACCACCACACCATCCATATGTGGAAACATCAGTTACAGCAAATGGAGAAGTTTTGAATGCTGTGGATAAGTTCACTTACCTTGGTAGTGTACTCTCCAGGGATGTACACATTGATACTGAGGTTGACGCATGCATTGCCAGAGCTAGCTCAGTGTTTGGGAGGCTCCAAAGGAAAGTGTGGGAGAGAAGAGGTATTAGACCGACTACCAAACTGAGGGTCTACAGAGCCATTGTGCTGACCTCATTGTTGTAAGCCTGTGAAACCTGGACAGTATACCAGCACCATGCCAGGAAACTGAATTGCTTTCATTTGAACTGTTTTAAGAAGATTCTGAAGATCACCTGGCAGGATAAGATACCAGCCACTGAGGTCCTTTCTTGAACTAAACTGCCAAGCATTCAATCTCTGCTTCAGAGAGTGCAACTCCGATCGGCTGGCCACGTTGTTCTAATGTAAAATGTATGCTTGCCTTTAGACTATTTTATGGAGAGTTCACACAGGGCAAGCATTCACATGGTGGTCAGAAGAGGCGATACAAGGACACTCTCAAGGTCTCTCTTAAGAACTCTGGAATTGATCATATGACATAGGAGACACTAGCACAGGACTGCTTAGCATGGTGTGCCTGCATCAGAGAAGGTGCTGTGCGGTATGAGCGAAGCAGAACTGAAATAGCTCAAGAGAAACACAAGATTCGCAAACTTAGAGAATCCACCCCAAAGGCAGACACAGACTATTTGTGCCCAACCTGTGGTAGAACACTGAGTTTGTACTGGTCAGATTGGCCACAGTCGGACACGCTAAAACTTGACTCTAGCATAGCGATGTCACTTTGGTCCTCTTCAAAAACAAAGGACGACAACAATGGACACTGAAAGATATTGAGCTCAGGCTCTTTCCAGCTCAGATTCTTCCTGCAGCACCCTGAGGCAGAAGGCACCCACGAAGGGCATCAACTCCAGGTCTGGCTCCTTAAGAACAAGCTGGCTTGTGGAGCAGCTGGTAGTATAAATGGTCCAGGTCCAGGTAGAGATCTAAGGCTGCCTGATCAATGTCATAGGTTTCCTGGCACAGCAGCTCAGCTACTGAGGCCAGGCTCAGGCCATCGTTGGCACCCATCCCACTCACCTCCTTGCTATATATAAGGTTGGCCTTTGAGCCTCAAGTAGAAGTGTGCCACTAATAGTTCAGTGCTATTAAGGATAATTTTCAACTTAACCATGGCCTTCTTTGCATAAACTCATTGCCAAATTTTGTGCCTTTGTCTAAGATTGGGCCACCTCCATAAAGCAAACTTGTAAAATACGATACCAAACCGTAAGGGCAGAATTTTCAGGATGGCATGGTACTACCATTCCTTCTCTCCCATGTACCATGCATCAATGCCAACACATGAATTCTTTGAGCAGGTTGGAAGAGACATAAAAAAGGAATAGCTGAATACTTAGGTTAAGGGCTGTAATACTTTGGGTAGATTCGTTTATTCCAACCAACTCAAATTCTTGGGGGTCATCAAAACATAACGGGGAAACGAGAGGTCAAATCTGTGTTCTTTATTCTATTCAGTAGGCATATACAGGACCCAGAAGTCATATCTTGAACCCTCTGTTCCACTGGGATGCTTGAGAAAGAGGTCCCTGGGCCTAAGGCGGGGAGCAGGCACATGACCACTGGAACTCTTGCAGAGCCCTAGGCCTGAGGGGCAGATGGGGACAAGAGGAGAAAGGAGCAGCAGAGCCATAGGAGAAACCCATATCCCTGATCACTTGCTTTATCCTTTCTCCTGCCCCACTGTACTGGAGTGGGGATAACGGTAGTAATATGACTGAGATGGAGGGGCCTGAGGAGCAGAAAATGAGCTTCCTGATTGGAGAGGAGTCTGTTTCCATTGCTACCGTTGGGCCAATGGATAAACTTTGGTGACCTCGTCAGGAGTGCTAAGATGTGTGTGTACTTTCTAATGCCCCTGTGGCTCTTGCTCTCATATCAGCAGCCTGTTATTATAGCTGAAGGTGTGACTGATAATAGGTATTGAAGTCCACTGGTCTCTTCTTGCCCTTTCCTCCTGCTACCCAGATTTCCAGGTGCCATTTCCTTGAGACCCAGGAGATCAGGAACAATGGGACTGTGTTGGAGAAGCCAAGGAAGGAACTCTGACTGTGAGTTTAGTCTCTTTGTGGTTGAACTGTTTGTACCTTAAGGACACAGGGCAGTAAAGAAGAGATTTCCAGAGGAGCAAAATCTGCCAGATGAATGCATGGAGAGACACAGAGCTGTGTGATATAGGGTCAGAGAAAGAGTTCTATGGGGCACATATATGCAGGTGAGGGGCCTGCTGGAAGTGACATACTTCAGGCTCATGCCTCTTCAAAGGGTGTGCTGGGGCAGAGGCAGCAGATCACTTCGAGGAGATGGGATAAGGCCAAAACAAGGGGCACCAAGTTAACAACAGCAAAAAAGAAGACATTCATGCAGACACACACTCCCATGCATATTCCCCTGCCCCTCCACAGTCTTTGCTGGCCTGTCTGAAATGGAAACAAGTGACTGCTCAGGCAGGGCCTACTGCTGGGATATCATGGCTAATGCCCAGTCCACAAGGGCAATGGTGATGTCTTGCAGGCAGAGCCAAGTCCAGTGGGCAAACTTACTCAGCTGTGTCTTTATACAGTCCCAGGTCACATCACCTCTGTAAGAAGAATGTATGGGGGAGGCTCAGATGAAAGGATGATGAAAATCTTATAGGACACCAAATAAAATAAACCAAAGTACATACAGACAGTAACATGCACTGCTACAACAGAAATAAATGGAAGGAAGGAGTGGGACAGAAGTCTGAAGTTGAGGGGTCTCACCTGCAGGCCTCCTGGCAATATTCCTGGACCTGGGACAATGCAGTAAGTAACATATGCCACAGAGTCAACAGAAAGTCGTGGTACAAGAGCAGTAGCAACTCCCTTAGCTGTAGGAGCAGATGTGACAACGAGTCTGTGAACTGGGTCTGCAGGTGGGTCAGAAAGAGGATGAAATTAGTTCAAGGGTCTCATGCTATTCCAAAGGGTATTAGTCTACCTGCCCAAGGGATTCCATTCATCTCAATTCTTTAGCTTACCTCCTGGAAGAAGCCAGCTAGGTTCTCATAGACCCAAGAAAGACATGACACACAATAGGCAGAGACAAAGGTGACTGTTGTGTTGGTCTGGGTCCAGGCCAGCTGCAGGCTGGGTTCTAGCACTGCCATCAGATGGGAACCAAAGACAGACAATGTCTCCTCTAGCCAGCTGTAGATGGAGAGAAACAGTGTGAATTTCCCTTGGCTATTTCTAGCATGTTATGATATTGTGGGTTGGGGGATAGGGAAGGAATGGTAGTCTCCCTCTACCCCATGGCTTTATCATACTACATGAAGGCCCAATCCATCTTAATTTGTATGTGACTCACCTGTAGCCTTGAAGACCATAGTAGTAGAGCTTGGCACAGGCCTCCTCACCAGCAGGCAGGAAGCCGGATGAGTGTAACACACGGGCTGACAGGGAAGCTAGGAAGGGAAGCAAGGGCCATCGACTGAGTTGGCCTATTTAGCCAGGGGGTGATGAGAACAGTGAAAGGCTGCAGGCAGATACTTTAATGCTTGGGGATAATGAATGGGAAAAAAGAGCTATACTTAAGCTTTCAGGGGAGCGTGCTCAAAACTGTCCTGCCTGCAGGGTTAGGTGAACAAGGAACAGGATAGAAGGAAGAGAGTTGTAGATAGGTAAAGCAGCAAAGCCTCTATCTGGTGGTTGCTTGGAATTTCTATGAAAGACTCAGAGATTTATTTGACCAATAGCCGAAGGCTATGTAAGAGAAACTCACTGTTTCCCCTGTCTCTTTTCCCTCTCCTTCTTTTGCCAACCCCACCCTTTGGTATCCAAAACCTCTTACTCTGGAAGGAGCTATGTGACCGGAAGTCATGTAACAGGAAGCCAGCTACAAACACCAAGAACAGGAGTAGCAGCTGAGTCCACGGTAGTCGACGACCACGGGCTTGTTGCAATAGGCTCTTAGGAAGAGTGGGAATGGAGAATAGCAGTCAAGGGGTGGATGGCTCTCTCAATCCGAGAATAAATTTCCAGCCACACCCTTTTGGAAGGGGCAGGACTATTGCTTAACTTGGGCAGTGAGAAAGTATAACAAATGCTAGGGATTCCCAGGGAAGGGTGGCACAGACAGGGATTGGGGAATATATACCGGGATCAGGGACCGGACTGAAATGGAGAATGGGAGAGCATCTGGGTTGGAGGAACATGGACATCAAGAGAGAGGGAATAGGATCCTGTGAATGGTTTGGGGATATAGCAATACGTCTGAACCAGGGTACCTTGCAGATGGTATTGCAGGCTGTAATGTCCTGAGTATTACTTCCTCCTTTCCTCAGGAGCTCCTCATTTGTGATTTTGAAGGACTGAATTATTTCTTGCAAAGACTTCCTCATCTGGTGGGAAGCAAAAGGCCAGGGGCTGGGAACAGAGGGTGTTGCCCTCTTTTTAGGTTTCCCCTGTTTAGATTCCCCCACTTGCTGATAGCCCTACTAGCTTAGCAGCACTCTTAGCTAGTTGCTCAGAGAAGGCACCATCTTAAAAGCAGAACTTCTCCTGAGCTGCCCATCCCCCAAGGCAAGCTGGCTCCATCCAGCCTGGCATCTCACCTTCTTAGGAGTTTGGTCCCAAGTCTCCAGGATGTGTCCCAGCAGCAAGCTGTGGAAAAAAACAGTCACTCCTCAGTCTTTCTTTGCGGACCCCAAGCCCACCTAACTAGAGAGACCACACAGCTTCTCACATTTTCTTGCCCTTTTTCAAACTGGCCCCTTTAACTTAAAAGCCCTAGTTCCAATGCATCTTCCTGAAGTCCACAAGGGGAGCTCTGAGACAGGACCAGGAATGGATTATGTTTAAGAGCCCTCTACCTCTATACCTCTCTGACTGAAAAGGGGCTGTTGGGAGCCCTGAAGGCTAGGGCACATCTCTGCATTTCCCTTGTTCCCCTAGATGGCAGACAGGGCTAGCTCAGGGTCCAGGAAGCAGGGCCTCAGACTTCTCCTAAGGCAGAGGCATATGGGGCCACTTGGGTTGGCTTGCTCTTTCCATCCCACCTGGATTGTGACAGATGCTTGGTGTACAGCTGTCTCCAAACATTGAAGCTGAGGGCATCCAGGGCCAGACACTCAGTCAAGCTTCTCAGGAGCTGTGTAGTGGAAGAGAGCAATTGTTGGAAGCCCAGGGCTTGCCTCCTGTTGGTCTCACAAACCAATACTCATGGACAACGGTGTACTAGGGCAGGGGGATTACCTCCACAATGTGGGGCCAGACTTAGTAATGGATGCTACAGATCACAGCCAGGAAAGTCATTCTCCTGGGGATGCATCAGAACCAAGGGCTCTTGGGATTGTCTTTAGATACCAGGAAGCCCTAAAGAGCTACAAGGATAGAGCTATAGTTCTAGAGTCAGCACCCAAGCTCAAGTACAACCAGTCACTGAGGAATAAGAATAAAACAGGGAGAGGGAGGTCAGGGGCCACATCTGCCAGAATGGATGGGGAGGTGGGAGTTCTGTTACAGCCACTTTGCTGAGGGTATCACACAGGCAAAAGGGAGGATGCCAATTAACAAGCTATCAAAGGGATGGTCAATTGTTGGGACTCCTTAAAAAAAGGCTTTTTGGTATGAGAAACGAAGCATTCATCTCCACAATTCTCAGTGACCTGCCTCAAGGGAAGGGGAAAGATGTCCTGGCCTTCTTTTCTCTTTCTTACCTCTTTCTTCATTTCAGGGGGACAGCTCGGGGTGGCTCTGGACAAGAAGGAGGGGAAGTAAGTATGCAGGGTAGTTTCCGGCTTTGCACCAAATGCCAGCACTTTCAGTCTGGGGTAGAGCTGACAAAGCTGTTCCTGTAGGCTGTGGATAGAGTGGGGTGGAGCTAACACAAGGTATGCCTCATGTGATGTTTTGTGCCCCACCAGACTTCCTCAAAGTTAATATCTTTTTGGTTAACATGACCCCCAAGAGTTCACTTTCAGCACTTGGTAAGACACTGACTGACGGTATAAGGGTTTGGGGGCAGGGGGTAAGGTGTCTCCCAATCCTGTGACTCTCTTGTTCTCTCCCACTGACTCTTTTGCTGCTGTCCTAGACATACAACTGCCATACCTGGGTGCCAGGGAGTTGTTGGGCATGTAGGCAAAGTCCAGAAGTGGGAAGAAGTCCTTGGGGCCGATCATGCCAAAGCCCTTGGTGAGGTTGGGATGCATCCTACAGATGGTGGGGAGAAGGTGTATCCTGCAAACTTCCGCCCTGGGCATGACTCCCTGAAGACTTAAGTCCACTGTCCATGGTAAATGATATCATGTCCCCCGCTCCCTGCTCCCAGCCCACATTGGTCCCTTCCTTCCTTATCCCTCCATTGCAGGGATCAAGATGAATGGGATGTTCTGATTTTCTCAACGCCTCTGAAGAGACCAGAACCTTAACATCATGTTCTGCTGACTCAGTCACTCTATGGACATTCCCAGACCTTCCTCAGCTCCCTCCCTGAACCCCTGCAATCACTTACAGAAGTAGTCGGTCCAAATAAGCAATGGAGAAGGGAGACAGAGACTTGATTCCCAGCACAGGCAACATGATCCCCAGCCACACTACGGGAGAGTGAGGGGTGAATGCAGCATGGTATAGTAATGACAGTCAGCATTCTCATAACACTTTACCATCTGCAAAGTGCTTCACAGTTTAGCTCATGTGATCCTTACAACAGCCCTATGAGGTAGGTGCTAATATATTCACATTCTACAGATCAGGAAACTGAGGCTGGGAGAGGGTCAGTAACTTGCCCAGTGTCATAACAGCTAGTCTGAAGCAGGATTTCTACTCAGGTTTCCTGACTCCAAGTCTAGGACACTGTGGATTATGCTACCTAGCTAAAGAACAATTACTGAAGAACTAGAGGACCTGGGATCTAGTCTCCTGGATTCTAATTCTGGCATTAACTAGCAGAGATACCTTCATTAAGTCCCTTAATCTTTATGGGGCTGTTTCCCTATTTGTAAAATAAAAGGATTCAATGAGGTAATTTCCACAAGCTCTTCCAATTTGGATACATATGATTCCATGACCCAGTAATGAGCATTTTTATCAATGATTTGGACAAAGACACGCCTATCAGATTTGCAAATGACACAAACCTAGGAGGAATGGCTAAGACAGTCCTTAGATAAATGTCTTTTTGGGGATTCTTCCAATTCACATTTGGTGAATGGATCAGTTCTTTAAGCAAATACTTATTTCCATTAAGTGTTCTAGATAAGGCTGTTTTGGGTTCAGGGATATACCTAGGACATGGCACCATACTGGGGAGATCAGATGTACTCAGTCTTGTTACCTTTAAGTCCCTCTGTTAGGCTGACAAAGCCTGCCTGCCCCAGTGCCCACATGATGGTCAGACACTTTGCTGGTCGATTCTGATGGGATCTCAGTAGCTCGAGGTACTGGGGAGACCAGTGGAGGAGGCAGGTTATCAATGGGGGATAGGAGTGATGATAATTAGGTGTGTAAGTCAAAGGTGAAGTATAAAAAGTGCCTGACAGGTGAGAAAAGTGACAGAGTAGAAACAGACTGAGACAGAACAAGATAAACAAGGGAGGGAAATTGGGAACCAAAACTAAGCCTTGCAGGGTCTTCCAAAGGGTACAGTATTAGCTCAGTTTAGAATTATGGTAGCTGCTTTGTGTTACCATCATCCGCATTGTCCTGAAGACAGGAGAAATGGCGTGGTTCCCCTACCCCATCTCCCTTCTCAAGCCAGTCACTTCATGTCCCACCCCATCTAGCTCACCTTGCCCAAGTTCATGGTGGCAATCTTGGGCTTGTCTTGCAGAACTGCTTGGATACAGATGCGATAGCCATGGAGTGACTCACCTACAAAAGCATGAAGCCCCACACCAATGAAGATGAGATTTCCCCAGTGAATCTTTTCATTTTGCTGCTGATCCCAGAGTCTACCCTATTATTTCTTGACACATTCCACCCACCTATCCACTTCTGTCCAAAATGATTTCCTGAATTTACAAATTTCTTTGCCCAGAAAAGAACCCTCCCTGAAGCTTCCAGGCATTCTCAGAGTGGGGAAAAAAGTGTGTATGCCCATATCCTTCCAGGACAAAGCATAGTAACCAATGTTTCTGGCCCTTCTTACCTGGAGTCTTGTCCAATTCCTGCAGCATGGTGTAAAGACAATGGTCAAAGAAAAGTTCCAGGATGCCAACTGCTTTCCCCAATAGTCCTCGAATGATTCCATGGAGTTCTCGGCCCACCAGGCAATAGGGATAATCTGGAAACAACCAGAACCTCTGTAATCAGTTCTAGGCCTAGGGGTGAATGGCAGTTCTAAGACTCTTATTTCTCTCCCTGGTCATATAGATAAGGCCTTCTTGAGTTAAATACACCATAAACTCTCATAGCTATGGTAGAAAATAGCTTGGAGGCCTCCTAGGACTGGTAATCAGGGTTAGGTACACATTTTGATTCTGCTACAAATCAATTAGCCTTGATAATACTTTTTTAGAATTCTCTTTTCTTTCTTTTTTTTTTAGGCAATTGGGGTTAAGTGACTTGCCCAGGGTCACACAGCTAGTAAGTGTCAAGTGTTTGGTCTGAGGCCGCATTTGAACTCAGGTCCTCCTGACTTCAGGGCCAGTGCTCTATCCACTGCGCCACCTAGCTGCCCCTAGAATTTTCTGGGTTCACTGTATGCTTAAGAAGATAGACTAACCATGTGTGTGCTGGCTTAATGTAGGTTCACTTCGAGGTGCTTGTAGCTTGTAGTTGAGATATCCAGCTAGGTCCTTCACCCATACAGATGGATTCCCAGGGAACATGCTCTGGCTCTTCTCCATTTCCTTTTGCAGTGCTACCACATCTAGCTGCCAGAGACACAAGAACTCCAAAGTTAGTCAGTCATAAAAAGGTAGATATGGAAAGGTAGCCTATGACCAGGTAAGGAGTCCACAGAGAACACGGGTCTGTCCATTATTAAGAAAATGATTCATTGTTGAAGATGTGGGAAAACTGGAACACTTAGGTACTGTTGGTGGAGTTGTGAACTGATCCAACCATTCTGGACAGCAATTTGGAACTATGCCCAAAGGGCTACAAAACTGCATACCCTGTGACCCAGCAATACCACTTGTAGGTCTGTATCCCAAAGAGATCATAAAAACGGGAAAAGGGCCCACATGTACAAAAATATTTATAGCAGCTTTTTTTGTGGTGGCAGAGTATTGGAAATTGAGAGGATGCCCATCAATTGGGGAATGGCTGAACAAGTTGTGTTATATGAATGTAATGGAATACTATTGTGCTATAAGAAATGATGAGCAGATTTCAGAAAAACCTGGAAAGACTTATATGAACTGATACAGAGTGAAATGAGCAGAACCAGAAGAACATTGTACACAGTAACAGCCACATTGTGTGATGTCTGCCTGTGATAGACTTAGCTCTTCTCAGCAATGCAAGAATCTAAGACAACTCTAAAAAGACTCAGGATGGAAAATGCTATCCACATCCAGAGAAAGAATTTAGGAGTCTGAATGCAGATGGAAGCATATTATTTGCTCTCCTTTTCTTTTGTTGTTTTGTTTTGTTTCTTCTTTCTTGTGGTTCCCCCCATTAGTTCTAATTCTTTACATTACGACTAAAGTGAAAATATGTTTAATGTGAATGTGTAAGTAAAGCCTATATCAGATTGCATGTCATCTTGGAGAGGAGGGAGAAGAGGGAAGGGGAGAAAATTTAAAACTCAGTATCTTATGGAAGTGAATGTTGAAAACTAAAAATAAATTAATTATTTTAAAAAATATGATTTATGGGGCATACTATCTTTTTGCTAATTTATAACTCCAAGAGGTGTGAAATGGGTAGCTATGAATGAATATTCAAGAAGCATTTATTAAAAACCTACAAATGCCAGGTATGTCCTAGGAGATGGGGACATAACATAAAGAATGAAATACGGTCCAGTCGCAAAAAACTTACATTCTAAAGGGGGGGATGGGGATGGGAGGGGTAGAAAAGTATATTCAGGATAAGTATAAGGAGAATAAATACAAATAGATACAAAGTAGTTAAATACAAGGTAGTTTGGGAAGGAGGTTGCTAGTAACTGAAGGAATCATGAAAAGCTTCATGTAGAAGAGTCGAGCTGAGTCTTGACGAGAAGAATTCTATGAGGAAGAAATGGGTAGGGAATGCATTCTAGACATGGAGAACAATCAATGCAAATGCATGGAGATAAAGGAATATATAAGGAACAGAAAATTAGTTTGGCTGGACAGTAGAGGGCAGGAAGGGGAGTATTATACACAAGGCCAGAGAGACAGGCTGGAACCAGGTTATGAAGGGCTTTAAAAGCCAAACAGAGGGATTTATATTTGGTTCTAGAGGCAATCGGATGCTACTGTAATTTGAGCTGGGGACTGACATGTTCTGATCTGTGCTTAAGGAAAATCACTTTGACAGCAGTACGAAGGTTGGACTGGTTTGGGAAGAGACTTGAGGCAGGGAGGTTGTTGAAATAATATGGGCAAGAGATGATGAGGGTTTGAACCAAGGTGGTAGCTGTGTGAGTAAAGAGAAGGGATTTTCAATGAGAGATACTATAGAGGTAAAAATGTCAAAATCTGGTAACTGACTGAAATATATGGAGCGAGGCATAATGAGGAATTGAGGTTAACACTGAGATTAGAAACCTGGGAGACTGGAAGAATATTGATGCAACATAAATAGGAAGTTCGCAAGAGGGGTGAGGGTTTTTTCTTTTTTTTGGTGGGGAGGGAAGGAAGGCAATGAGTTCTGTTTTAGACGTCACCAGAATATTCAGCATGGAATGTCCAAGAGGCAATTTGTAATGAAGGAGCCAAGTTCAAAGGAAAGAAAGGAGATGAATATATAGATCTAAGTCAACTGCACAGAGATAATAATTAAATCTATGAAAATTGATGAGGTCACTGAGATAGAGTACTCAGATAGATGAGGGCCCATGAAGGCCTTGGAATACACCCACAGTCAGGAGGTATAATATAGATGATGAACTAGCAAAGGAGACTGAGGAGTGGTTAGACAGGCAGAAGGAGAACCAGGAGACATTAGTGTTACAGAAACCCAGAGAGGAAAGAATATCAAGATGGAGAGGGTGGAGTGGTCAACAGCATCACATGTAGAAGATCCAGAAGGATGAGGACTGAGAAAAGACCATGACATTTGGCAATTGAGATATCACCGATAACTTCAGATGGCAGTTTCAGCTGAGTGATGAGGCTGGAGGACATATTACAAAGGGTGGAGGTCTCAGTGAGAGAAGTGAAGGCAACAAGTGGGGATATTTTTTTTTCCCGGAGTTTGACTAAGATAGGGTGGAGATACATAGGACAATAAATAAGATGGCAGGATTTAGTGAAAATTTTCTAAGGATGAAGGAGATGAGAACATTCAAACGTAGTACAGAAGAAATCAGTAGAGAAAGAAGAGGTTACAGAGAGAGGAGGGATGATTGAAATGTCAATATTCTGGAAAAGGGGGACAGGTTCAAAGGCATAGATAGCACTGTTAGGCCTTAGGAAGAAGGGCTGCGTCATTGTCAGAAAGTGATAGAATCCTACAAACCTAAAGGACCTAGAAAAGTGATTCCTAGGAAAAACATTTATTTTAAATTTTTTCACTCAAAGAGGACACCCTACCTCTCATATCCTTTATAGCTGTAAATGGGAGGAGCTTGTTTACACGTGCTCACTCTAATGGCATGATGATCACTATGTCCATGAAACTTAATAATTATCAGGAAATCAGGTTCTCCAGTCCCTGTTTCTTATTCCCTTCTTCACTTGGTTTCTGGGCTCTTGTGGCTTTCTTTTTCTTCCTCCACCAAGCTATCAAGTCTTTTCCTATGACCCCCAGAAATGTGTTCCTGGCTGGTATTATACCTCTGATAGTACCTGAGTACTCTGTGGTACCTGAGTCCATTCTGGGTGCTGTCTCTCCTTATCTTTCATTTTCCCCAATCACATAACTCTCTCCCTCCGTCCAGGCCCCGCAAGGCCTGTCACACTCACAGCCTTCATCGCCTCCTCCAGACTGCGAAAGCGGCCCTGCTTGGTGCTCTGGTCGGTGAGAGCAGCTGCCTTTTTGTTTTTTTTGGCTGTTTTCTTGTGTTCGGTGGGAGCAGGTGGGGGCACTTGCTCCTTGTTGTGCTTTTTCACCACCTTCTGGAAGCCCAGCTCAAAAAGAGTGCCTGAGGGCTGGATGGCGGCTGCGGGTCGAGGTTAGGGGAGGAGGCGGTAAAGACAGAGAGAAGAAGAGAGGGCGGTCAGTCCTCCCTGGCCACAGCGCCCACCGAGATGGCCCTGCAGGGAGGAGGGCGTCCTTCCTCCCCAAAGTCCCTATCAGATGCAGCCCGCGGGTCCCCGAGCCCGGCCAGGGAGGTGGGGGAGGGGCTGTCGGCTCCCTCTGGGGCAGCTGTCTCTCCTTTCCTCCCAGCTGTTGGGCCGCAGCCTCCGTGGGGGCGGGGAGTCAGGAATACCACAATATATGTGTATGTATGTACACACGCATGCATGCATATCTGTGTGTCTGTCTGTGGAAGGGATGTCATGGTTTTGAGGCCAGTCTGCTCCCTCTCCCAATGCAATCCCGAAAGCATTTTAAGCGCCTCCCATGTGCCAGGCAGTGCTAGGCGCTGGAGTAATAAGGCTAAAAATGGAACAGTTCTTGGCCTCCAGGAGTTTACATTCTCCACCCCAGGGTGTCCCACGTCCCAGGCCGCGGGCTCTGCTGCATCCACCCCGGCTGGTGGCCCCGCGATCCTCGCTGCGGGGCAGTGGAGGGCTCTCGGTGTGGGGCCCTGAACGTCACGGCCGGGACCTAGGGCCCCGGATCGGTACTCACGGACCAGCTCGATGCTCCGCGACCGGTTTGCTTCCCCGAGTGCTCGGCGGCTCCCGCCACCTCCTCCTCCGCCACCGCCCCCAGGCCGCCGGCCCTTCCTCACCACCTCCCAGCGACCTCCTCCCGCTGCCGTGGCCGCCATAGTATCGTCTCTTCCTCCGCCACTCCCAAGACAGAGAGAGACAGACCGACTGACAAGCAAGCACTTCCCCCCCCAACCCGGCCCAGGCCCTCAAATCTACGTCCGCGCCTGCGCGAAGCTCGCGCTGCCACGTCGCCCCCAAGCGATAACCGCCCGTGCTGCATGCTGGGGCTTGTAGTCTTGGCGTCTGCCCCGGTAGGGGTGTGGCATTGGCCAGGAAAGAGGGGAGCCGTGACCATCGCCTGGAAGGGCAGCTGTCAGATTGAACAGCTCATCGTATCTCTAGGTCAGGAAGATGTCACCCGCAATCCGCAGGTGCTGTCTCTCTGTTTCCCGCCCCCCCCGTCCCCAATCACAGCAGCAGTGAAGGGCGGACCTGTACTTTATGGTTGTGTAAAGCTTTGTGCCACGTGCATCCTCTCTCTTGATGCTCACCACAGCCTGGCGAAGGTGGCCGAGGGTGAAATTGTCAGACCGGTCTCCCCATTTTGCCAGTGGGGCTCAGAGCTCACATGACAACTCAAGTGCATACTCTTCCACTTCTAGGGGGCGGGACAAGTGTGATGGAGTAGAGAGATCAGGAGCTATGGTTTGGGGCTGGAAGGGACAGTAGAGAGCACCTACAGTATAGGCTCATATATTTAAAGGCTGGAAGGATCAGAGGCAGAGAGCTGAAGGGCCTTCATATTTCTTCCCACTGCACCACAGTGCCTCCTGAAGACATTTTAGAGGTCATCTGGTTCAACCTCCTCATTTTACAGATATGGACACTGAGCTCAGGGGATGTTAACTGACTTGCCTCAGGTCACCCAGATAAGTGGCAAAGTAGAGATTTCAAAGACTGATCTTGACTCCAGATCCAGCCCACTTTCCACTGCACTAAGCTGTTTTCGATCCAATCTCTTTCTTTCACAGATAAGGAATATGATGTCCAGAGGAAGAAAATGACCTACTGAAGGTCACATGGGCAGCTACTAAATAGCAAAGTCAGGATTTGAACCCAGATCTTACAAATTACATGCTTTGGACACTACCTCAAATTGCCCATTTTTAACCTTTCTTTTGGCAGCCCAAACTTCTTCTGTACTTCTCCTGTACAGCTACTTTGCCACACATCATGCCTGCCCAATATGATCCTTGATCCTTGTGGCTAGAAGCAGCTCTTATAGCATTTCATGGATGCTCCAAGAACAAGCCTGCTCTGGTTCCAGGCCTGCTAAGAAGGTGGGTAGGTAATACAGACCCAGTACTCAGGGGTCAGTGCCCAAAAATTCAGTCATGTTCCCCTATTTGGGATTTTCTTGGCAAAGATAAACAAAGCAGTTTGCCATGTCTTTCTCCAGCTCATTTTACAGATGAGGAAAGTAAGGCAAATAGGATTAAGTGACTTGCCAAAGGTCACACATCTAATAAGCATCTGAGACCAGATTTGAACACAGGTCTTCCTGACTTCAGGCTTGGCACTCTATCCACTGAGCCACCTGGCTGCCCTATGTTTGTTTATTACCATTCCTCTTTCCTGAAGGTAGGCAGTATATTTGAGGATTGGAGCTGCACCAATTAAGGGTCATGTTTGCCCAGCCAAACACAGATACATATGATGTTACTCTACTGGACTGGGAATCAGATGATTTGGGCTTTATTTAGTCCCAGCTCCAACACATGTTAGAAGTGTGACCTTGACTTCAAATCTCTGAACCCATTTCCTCATTTCTAGAATGGGGGGGCAGCAATGCTTGTGTTCATTGCCTTAAAAGGTCCTGAGGAAGGTATTTTGCAAATTCTAAATTGCTGTAGAAACGTGAGACGTGTTTGTACACCAGGGACGCGCTGTAGTACCATGGAAGGAGCATGAATTCTGGATTCAGAAGACTTGGAGTTCAAGTTCCCCCTCTGCAACTCACAACCTCCCTCAGCCTCAGGCTCCTCACCTAGGAAATGAAGGGGTTGCGCTAAATGGCTTCTGAGATAATTCTTTTTCTAGATCCATATGCCTCTCATCTAGTCCCACAGTTGGAATCACTCTTTTTGAATAGAGAAGAAAGGTGTGGGGTGCTTATGGAGATAGAAGAAAGAGTATCCAGACTGCAAGTTCTTTGAGTTGGCCATGTGATAGGCCATCCTGAAAAGCTATTGTGACCTTTGGCTGCATCAAGAGAATCATAATTTCAAAACCCCATTTTAATGATCGTCTCTAAGCTTTGTTTGGCCAAGAATCTTCCCTATATCTATAATTCTGAAAGGTATCTCTTTTTTTTCCCAGTAATTTGTTTGTGATTTTAGCCTTTATATCAGTTTCACATTTTTATTGACTTGATTATAAAGACATAAATGGGATATTCATCAGATTTGCAGATGACACTATGCTGGGAGGGATAACTAATGTCCTGGATGTCAGGATCCAAAAATATTTTGACAGGCCAGAGCATTGCGCTGAATCTAATAAGGTAAAATCCATCCAGGAGAAATGTGAAAGTCATACACTTGGGTACAAAAATTCATCTTCAGTAAAAGATGCAGGAGGCATGCTTTGACAGTAGTATGTCTGAAAAAAACATCCAGGGTTTTAGTGTGCTGCCAGCTTAATCTGGGTCAGCAATATGATGTGGCTACTAAAAAATGGATATGACCTTGGGCCTCATCAAGGGAGGCCTAGCTTCCAGGCATAAGGAAGTGGTGGTCTCTCTGTCCTCTATCTTTAGTCAGACCACATCTTGATTAATGTGTCCAGTTCTGGGGACACAACGTAAGGAGGCTATTGATAAGCTAGTGTGTCCACAGGAGGGCAGCTGGAGGGTGAAGGGCCTTGAGTCCTTATCATGGGGAGTATAAGCTGAAGGAAATAGGGTTGTTTAACCTTGTGAAGATAAGACATGGTAGAGTATAGGACTGTCCTATGGAAGAGGCATTAGATTTGTTCTATTTTGGCCCCAGAAGGCAAAAGGAGGCCTAGCTAATGTCCTAGATGTCATGGGCATCTTGCTGTCTGTCCTGCATACACTACAGAATCTCAGAACTGGAACAGATTGCAGAAGCTACCTTGTCTATCTCATATCTGAACAAGAATCCCCTAAGACCACCACCAAGTTGTCATGCATTTTTTGCTCAAGCACTTTAGCAATGGGAAACCCATGTACTTGTCCAGGGGACCCAAGCTGAATTGATTACCTCACATGGTATTAGGTTCTTCTAGGAGATCTTCAAGCAAAGCTGGTAACCACCTCATCTGTTGTAGATGAGAATCTAAGTGCAGCCACAGGGATCACTTCCATCTTTGAAATTCTGTGACTCTGCTAGTCCATGAACTTTAACAGTAATTCCAACAGGAGTGGCTGTGGCATGGTAATTACCATGGTGAAGAATATTCACGTGAGGAAATCTAGGAATCAGAGTAAGGACTCATGGATAACTCGGGAAAGATCAATGGGAGGAAAAACAGGAGTGATTTAATCATTGGAGTATGCTACAGATTAGACAGAAATTAGAAAAAAAATGAAAAGTTCTAGAAACAGATTGTGGACTTGGAATAGAAACTTAATATAATAAGAATGAGTAACTTCAATTATCTAGATACCCTCTAGAGCTCTCTTTCTACCAAAAACAGAGCAACTAATAATTTGTTATCTTGCCCTAAGAATATGTTCATCCTTCAAAGGGTGGAGTAATCAACTAAGGGAAATTCTGTTTTGGATTTGATACCAACCAGAGTTGAAATATTAGGAAACTAAGGAGAAAGAGACCACTTCTTCCTAGCATTTGTGATGCAGAAGGAATAGAAGGATGAGTGTAGTCGGATATATATCCTAGATTTGGAGAGAACAGATTTCAAGGAGTTCAGAGAAAGAGTAGGTACAATTCCATGAACTAAAATTCTACAAGAGGAGAGGTGGGAAACTTAAATGTATGACTAATGACACAAAGCAAAATTTCTCATAAAGAATAGGAGTTATTCAAGGCTGACATGGATGCACAGAGACCTCACCAATAAACTTAAATGATAGCATGTATATGTGTGTATATATATATACACATACACACACATATATACATATGTATGTATATATTTATATTTGGAATATGTATATTTATACACACAGATATATATATGTACATATGTGTGTATATATATAACATCAAAGATGCCAATGTTATCCATTGCATCCTGGGCCATCAACAGTCATCCTATCTTTTGTCTTGCCAACTCTGGAAGAGAGAGTGAGGCTAATGACTTTTTGCAACTCTGCCTCACTTAAACACAATTCTGAGCAAGTCCACATTATCACCCTATGATGTGAGTGATCCTCTTTGAAACGGAAGGATGAACACCACCAACAACCATGATGACTTCTAATTCGGTAAGGATATTTCTTCTATTGAGCCAAAAATTATCTCTTTACAACTTTTGTCCATTTTTCCTAATTCTTCTCTTGGGGACCAGGCAGAAGAAGTCTAAATCTACTTGTACATTCATCTTCAAATACTTAAAGGCTGTAATCTTTTTGCCTCTAAATCTTTTGTTCTTCATGCTAAACATCTCTATTTCCTTCAACAGCTTCTCATATGGCATAATCTTGAGACCCTTTACCAACCTAGTTGCCTTCCTCTGGAAGCTTTCCAGCCTATTAATGTTCTTCCTAAAATGGGGCTCCCAGTACAGGTAACAGGACTACCAATATCTGGCTAGGGCAGAACACATCAAGACCATCACCTCTCTATTCCTGGATGTTATGCCTCTCTTAATTCAACCCAAAATTATATTAGTTTTCTTGCTTACTGTTTTCCTCTTGACTCATATTGAAATTGTAGTCCACTAACACCACCAGATCTTTTTCGGAAGAACTGTTTTTTAGCTACCCTTCCCCATCTTAAACTTATGAAATTAACATTTTTTTAATAACTTTTGTTTTTGTCATCTTCATTTCCTTCCTTTTCCCTCCCCTTTCCAGCAACTCATCTCTTTAAACAGATAAAAGAGAAAAAGCAGTTTAATAAATCTAACCAACACATCAATAGTCAGACAGTATATACGTATTTTACACTCACAG